TTTTTCTTTTACTTTTAATTTTATAGCAAAAATATTTTTATAGATTTTTTTTCTCTTCTCTTACATTATACAATAATATAGGTTAACTATTTTTAAATTTTTTTTTGTTAAATATATATTTTAAAATATAGCAGAATTCAATTTATTAAAGGCAATTTTAATTTTGATTATTTTAAAAAGTATTTTTTTTTTTATTATATCGCAGAACAAATTTACATTGAAAAAATAATTTACATTTGTTTAAGAAAAAAAAAAAGGATATTAAATTTGAATAGTTTTTTGATTTAATATCCTTAAAATTAAGGGTAACTCTTAACTTATTTTTTTAATTTTATTTTTTAATATGATAAAAATTTTTAAATATGAACTGAGAGTGGCTTATTTTTTTCAAGAATTTAATAGAAAGTTCGATGTGGTTTCAGCAAACATTTACATAACAAAGTTTGAATATCAATTAATTAAATCGGAAAATATAGAAAATTATTAAATAATAATAAAATTCATAAATGTAAAAATTATTGATATGGCTTGCAAATGATATCAAAAAAAAATATTTAAAGAAGATTTTTAAGAAATGGTTTTTTTTTTTTCAATTTTTGATTTTGGGTATCTTCGGAATTGCATCTATGACGCATCGGACACATTGTATCATCTTCTAAAATATCAACAAAAAAATTTGACGATCTGTTATGTTCAGAATTTATTTGATGTTGATGTGCCAGGGACGTTGTTAACATTGAAATTTTTGTCAAATTATGTATCCAAAAATTTTTTCCATACATAGGTTTTTTTATATAATAGAAAATTTTTACAACTAAAATTGTACAATTTTTATATGATAATTTCGTACAAACCCATAGTTTTAATTTTTCAAATACACTACATAAATGTAATTGTATAGTTAACAAAGGGACCCTTAGGCTTTTGACTTGTGGGCAAACCACAAAAAATGAAATATGTACATGTATAAAAGAAAATTTTATTTAAAATTTATTTTTAATATAAAATTTTTATTCATAAAGTTTTCATTTTCATGATGAATTCCAGAACATTCTGAATACAAAAAATATTCAAAAACCCCTTAAAAAAAAAAGGAAATTAATTAACAATAAATTAGCAAAAAAAAAAAAAAACTTAATCAATTGAAATCAAAAATATTTAACAGTTTTTTTTTTTTTAATTATTTAATTACAAAATTATTTTTATTTTCAATTTGAATTATAAAATTTATTATAAACAATATGTCTAATTAATTAGTTATAAAATTAAATGAAACAGAAATTATAATTTATTTTTATTTTATTTTGAAAAATAATGAACAAATATTATTTGTATTTTAGTTGCGGCAATATGTAACAATTAATTGTCGCCTGTCATCTATTAATTTTTTTTTTGTACAAAATATAATATTTTTGCTTTTATTTATTTTAATATTTACAATTTAAATAAAATTTTATTTTATTGAACGAAATTACCAAAATCATTTGTTTTTCACTAATTTAAAACATGCCATTTTAATTTCTTTATAATACTTATATTGCATGTTAAACAAGTTTATAATATTTTATTGCCACATTTTATTAGAATAAATCACTTGAAAAAATATGATATTTTTTTTCAAAATTATTGAAATTTTCTGTACAATAATATTAATTTCTAGTTTTCTAAATTGTTTTCATTCTGAAAAATAATTTTTGAATAAATATCTTAATTATTTCAAATGATTTTTCTGTAATAAAATATGGTTTCAATATTATTTTGTTTTTCTTAATTCGTTCCAAATTAATTTTGTAAATTAATTTTAAGTTCTATATAAATTATCATATATAAATATTGTTGCATTCCAAAATGCAGTAATGCAGTAATTAATACACAATTCATCTTATAATTGTGAATTACTCAATGGTTAGTTAATACAGTATTACTGCATTTTGGAATTCAAAATTTCTTATACGATTTTAAATCAAATTTTTAAATTGAATTTGAAAGCCATAAATATATTAATTTGTATTTCATATTAAAAATCAAAGCCTAGAATTATAATTATGAAATTTTTAATTTTTAATAAAATTTCGAGAATTTCAAAAAACAAATTGATTTTTTTTACAAAAAAAAAAAAAATTTAAATCAAGAGATCAGTAAAAAATAATCAAATTAAAGTTAAAATTAAAATATTTAACAATTATTATAATCTTAAAAAGAATAATGAATTAGAACAATTATTATGTATGTATATTTAATTCTTTTTTTCTATTTTAGTGAATAGTTTGAAAGCAGGATAGTGTTGGATACCATCTGCACATTTGTAACAAAAAAAAAAAATTAAACTATCAGAACAACATTGTCATTAAAATCAAGTTAAACCATGTGGGAATAAACTGATAAATATAAAAATAAAATCAATTTGACAAATTAGTTTTTACAAAATAATTCAATAAAAAATTATAATTGTAAATAATAAAAATTAATTATTTTCTTTTATTTTAAATTAGTCTCAGTAACAGATTTATTAAAAAAACATTTAATTAATGAGAGTATGAATATTAAAATTTTAAATAATTATTTAAAATTAAAAATTAATTAAAATAAAATTAAAACCAGTACTTATTAAGAATTAAATAATTTTTTTTCCTTGATATATTTTGTGCTATTTTAATTGTGTAAAAATATAAAATTAATTTTAAAAACAATTTTTAGGTTTAATTTTAAATAATAATATTTTATAATAATTGTTTTTCGTATATACAATCGATTACTTAACAAAGAATAACAATTTTAGATTTATTTTTTAAATAATTTAAAATAATATCGCCTAAATATTAATTAAATATTTTATAATTTTTATATTTTTATTTAAAAATAATTATTTTTTTAAAAAAAAACGAAAATTTTAATGTGTTTTTAATAAGAATATTTTTATTACTTTCATTCAATATTATTATTTCTCGTTTAATGTTTAAAAATATGAAAATATTTTAATTTTATTTTGATTAAAACGTGAAACTAATCGAAAATTTCATTAAATTCATTAAAATTGATGAATATTTTTTGATATAAATTTTAATTAAAATAAAAATTTTTTATATAAAACAAGAAAATTTTATATTAAAATAATTTTTGGACTTTGTTTGTAAACCTTTTTGTTAATACAGCATTTAATAGCTTTATCTAAATTGTTTCAAAATATTTTAAAATAAAATATTTAGAAATATTTAATATTTAATTTTAATCTAAGTACTGGTTGTTGAATACAAGAAAAAAACAAAGAAGAAAAATCTTTTCTATTAATTTTAGAAATTCGAAACTAAAGTTGAAAATTTGTGTTTTTTTTTTATTTATAATTAATAATTAATCAATTCATTTTAATTTGTAATTTAATTTGAATAACAGTTTTTTTTTTTTATTATTTTCGTTTTGTTTTTTTGTTTTTATATTTTGTGTTTTATCATTTTATTTGTTTGTTTGTTTTTGGAACACATTAACAGAAATTTTATTATAAACTGTAAAAAATATAAAATATACAAAATATAAAATATTTTATTTTTAAAATTTAATTTTTATTTAATTTTTGTTTTTCTATATTGATTACTTTTTATTGGTTTTTTGTGTGTGTATTTATGGTTTGTTTGATGGTTTTTGTTTTTTATAACATTTTATGTTTGTTAACAGAATTATGATTTTTTATATTTTTATATTTTCAACATAAATAATTAAAAATATAATCATGATTTAATAAAATTTATATAGAATATATATAAATTTATACTTAAATATATTATGTAATTTTATATAAGAGTAATTTTTTAATTTTTATTTTAATATTGAATTTATAGTTTCTTATTTATATTAAATATATAATTTATATAAATATAATAATCATAAATTAATTAACTATAACAGTAGTAAATATACATATATATATTTATATATATTTGTATATATACATTTCTTCACAGTAAAGCAGTTTGTTTTTTGTTTTTGTTTTTTTTTTTTCATTTTAATTTAATTTTAAATAATTTTTTTACAATTGTGTTTACATATATATATATATATTATTTATATGCATTTGTTTTTTCAAATAAAATGTACAAATTTTTTACTTAATTAATTTTTTTTATTATTGTATTTTTTTTTTTTTTTGTTTTTGTATTTTTATTATACTTACAATTCTCATTTTATTTATTGTTATATTGTAAAATATATTGAAATTTTGTAAATAATAAAATATATAGAAATATACAGATTTCTTGTATGTTAAAATTAATTAATAAAATATTTAAAGAAATTCCAACGTGTATAAAATTAATTAGACCAATAATTTATATTTAAAAAAAATGACCCGGCTTTAATTTTAAATTAATGAAATCTTAACTAAATATTTGAAATTAAATATTAAGGAGATTTTATTTTTAAAGGATATTTTAAAATAATTTAATATTTAAAGCTACTTATAAATTAAAAAAATTATAAAAATGAAAAAGAAAAATGAAATTTCGAGACAAAATTGGAAAATTTATAATCAATGTAAATAATTTTTACAATTTTAAGAAAATATTTTTAATACAAATAGTAAATCTAATAAAAATCTAAATTAAAATTAAAATACAGGAATTTGACTTTAAAATTAAAATCTGCATTTCTTCTATATATTCCATTTTAATAACATATTATATATTTATAATACATAGAATTTTTTTTTTATCTTTTTTTCAAATTATGATTTTTATTAAAAAAATTTAAACAATTACTAAAATATTCTTTTGTTTTTGTATATTTATTACAATTAATAATGAGATTATTATGATTATTTATTATTGCATTTGTTGTTGTTGTTGCTGTTGTAGTATCAATATATCTTGATTGAATATTTTCAATTTCAGAATTAAAATAATTAATATTATGATTATTACTATTAATATTATTTTTATTGTTATTAAAATAACTATTATAACTACTAATATTATTATTATTATTACTATTATTGTATTTATAATTTATATTTGATGTTCCTATTATTGGTGACATTATATTTGTTGGTGATTGATGAATTTTATTATTACTATAATTATTATTATTATTAATATTATTATTGTTATTAAATATAAAAAAGTCTTTAATTTTTTGAAAATTTCTTATATAATAAAATTGATTAAAAAAACATATTTTATTTTTTACATAATTATTATTTTTATATTGATCTTTTTTTGAATTAAACATAAAATAATTATTTCTTTTATTTTTATTATAATAATAATTATATTGATTTTTATAATATTGTTGATTTTTTTCTATATCATTATTTTGTTCTATTAATTTCTGTTTTAATTGTTGTTTATTCTGATGTTTTTTATTATTATTAAATATTGTTTTTGTTAAATTTTTTAATTTTAATTTTGATCTAATTTTTGAATTGAAATTATATTTTTTTATATCATTATCTTCTCTTTCAATTCTAATTAATAATCCCTTTAAAAGTCAGACTTTTGTTTGTTGTTAACTTTCACGATTTGGTAATTTGGAATGGAAATGACGTGGCCATGGTAATGGCCATTCATATTGTCTTGGTAATGGACCACGTATATTTCTTTCAAAATATCTAAAGAAATATGTATACCACCATTCACGTCCAATATAATTATAACTACTACCGGATTGCTAAAATATAAAAAAGTAATTAATTAAAATTATGAAGAAATATTTTTGAATTGAAAATGTAAATTTCAAAATTATATTTACCAAAAAATTAATATTTGTTAATGTATGATAAGTCCAGAACAGCCTTGTGGTCACATAATATGCAATAAGTACATCAATTGTATAATGACCATGGGCAATTAAAACACATATTACTCCAAAAAATGATGCTGTCCATGATAACCAATGTAATACATAAAATCTTCTAGGTGAGTCTATAAAAAATAAAAATAAAAACAAATTTCAATTAAATCTCTCATTTAATTTTATATACAAAAAAAAAAATTAAAGATCAATACTTACATTCTGCTATCACTAAATAACCTAAGACTAGCATTACAGTATGACCACTGTATATCATATCACCACAATATGTATGTTTACCGTTTATTGATAAACCGAAACCAGAAATTAATTGAAAAACACGTTTTGCAATTATCGTTGCTGTTACTGTTGTATTTAATTTTGGACTACAATAATATGTTGTACTCGCTACTGGCAGCACTGTAACATACATTGTTATTGAACGCATAAAATATAATAATGATAAAATCAGGAATAATCGTCGCATTACAATGAACCTACAACGAAAAAATATAAAGAAAACAATGTATTAAGAAAATTTTTGTATAAAATTAAATATTTTTAATAATTAATAAATTGTAATTTCAACTCAAGACTTATTATTAAGTATAAAAAATTTCATTTGCTGAGAAGCCTTGAGGTTTGAATTGCAGTCATATTCTATTACTGCACAAAATTTTATTATTAAGCATTTATAATTTGAAGCTTATAATTTTTAATTTCCGCCTTAAATTCTAGGAAAGTAATTAGTCCCAATAATCCTTCGAAATTTAAAAAAAATACACTTTTATTTTGGGCATCTACCAAAATACAAATCTACAAGAAATTTAACTTATTCAGATATCAAAATTTTATTGCTGAATAACGCAAGTTGGTGTTAGACTTCCATTTTGGTAAAAGGTCCTTTGTTAATTTGAATTATTACAATGAAACGAGTCCTTGATTTGATCATTCCTGACCTACTTATAAATGTATAAGTATAATATTACTTAATACTCTCTCATGGACTCTACTTGATTCCTTTATAATTCATTTACAAGAGCTAAAATTCGTTGTAGAATAAATATGAAATTTTAACATGCTCTCATACGTAGATTTCATTTTTAAGTCCACAATGTAGTCTGTTGTTCGTGTTCTTGAAATTTAATTTAAATAATTAAATCTTAATTTAAATAATGTTACTAACGTATACATAAGAATTAATAAGTTTTTTAAATTAATTTACATATATTTGATTACGGAACTGACAGAGTTAGAAAATAAAGGTTTACTTCCTCATATTCATATACGTATGTACAATAGTACACACATATGTATTATGTGCTCGTAATAGAAGAGAGAAGTTTTCTCTACTTTAAGAATATTTCCGGGGTTTCTCATAAAAATATTTATGTATATAAAATTTCCCATCATTGTAATTTATTATTTACGAATAAAATATGAATATACAAATAAAATAAAATAGTTAAGAATCATTTAAGAAATTCTACACTTTTATTAATATTTATTGTAATGATGACCGATTTTTATCATATCCCATACTTATAAACTAAATGTAACAGTGCAAATAGTAAGTATGTATGTATATAGAGATTTTTAAATCTAACTCCGACTGACACATAATATTCTATAGTGTTATTGATTTTCTGTTTAATAATAAAAATAAAACGGTAAGTTTACAAGAATCCATTGACCGCAAACCAGATTTATTATTTGCCGTTTTTTATTTTGTTTTAACGTTTTTATTTTTTTTTTAAATTTATTTTTTTTCTTCTCATTGTTCTTCTTGCGTTCTTCTACATTCGTCTTATTTAAAAAAAAAAAATTTATACAGGAAGTATCGGATTTCAGAATTGGTATTAAAAAAAAAAGAAGAAATAAATAAAAATTAAAAATAATATAAAGAATTAAATACACATTTTATACCACTTTTTTAATGCATCGGACAGGGCTAGGCATAAAAGTGTTCAGAATTAACCGACGAACGGTTGTAGAGCTTGTTCACAATTTCAGGGCTCTGGCAGACATGTAAGCGGCAGTCATATGTAGACATACATGTAGTTTTGGATTTGTTTTGTATTCACAGATGCCACTGTTTGTATTCACTCATGCAACTGTATGATCGTACATGCAACTGTATGATCGCATGCAATTAAGCAATCAAACAGTTTATAATGTTTTACAACTTGATTACAATTTAGTAATTTTAAATAAGTAGTTTATTTGCTTAAGTGTGCACGTAATTAATTTGCAATTAAATTGTAATTGTGAAGTTAAAACTTGCATGTCTGCTAGAAAGAACCCTTAAGATGTATGCGCCCGATTAAGCAGAACCGATAACGATTGCATACAACTTGGCGTTCGTTTAAATTAACAACAAAAATCGAGTTGTTAAATGTTACCGTGATCATCAAATTTTTGAAAAATTTTTTATCTATTACATTTTAAAGATAAATAATTTTAATATTTCTGGTGAACCCATAGGAGCATATTTAACTTTTAAATAAAAATTAGAAATGATCCGTGCAATGAAAAAAGACTAATCACCCCTGATATTTTATGTCATCTGTTACTTGTAATAATAATACATTGCTAAATTGTCTCCATTTGGATATTAAAAAGTTGTTAACCTATAAATTTTTATAGTATAGAATATACTTCACATGCTATATATGTACATAATTTTGTATACATATGCGTTGTGCATGCACACTGCTTGTGTATAATATAATTTTTTTTTATTTTACACAGTACATGAGATACTACTCGCTATATACTATGTATGCTATCTATTTATATTAACATTAAGGATGTTTTGCTGACCATAGCTCATTTATTAAGGGAGGAATACTGGAGACTATTTTATTTGTATGTATTTTTTTAATTTTATATAATATGTATACGTATGTACATTATTTATATATGCACTGCAATTCAATATCAATTAAAAATTAATCAATTAGTATAATTAAATTTAATTAAAGTAGTAATCAAATTTTCAGATATGAACTGGTATTCTCGGACTAATTCATATAGAATAATCGAATTCCCGGATGCTGATAATTGGTGAATACCGGCTATGAACATTAATTTAACATTTTCAATTGAATATCCCATATGCCATATGTTTTATAATCATATGCCCCATTTAGAACTTCGAGCTTTTTCACCCATTTTCTATATTATTGTTTTGAAGTTAAAAAGGAATATAGGCGGCTAAGATTTCGTAAAATGTTTTAGATGGTTATCATATAGGAGGCAAATAGAACTGCATTGATCACTCTATTCTATTTTATCTTGTTTTTGCCATAATAACCAACATTTTTATTACTTTAAGAATCAGTACATATGCATGACATTTTTCCATTAAACATTTTTTTTATTTTCTTTTATTAAATGTTGTAACAGTAAGTATATATGTATGTAAGTACCTATAAAATTTTAATGATACCATAAAAAGTATGAAATGCAGTTAGATGCACTCGTTTTTATAATTTATGTTTAATTTTTCTCTTTCTAGAAAAATATTAAAGAATTTTTTAGAATATTCCGTGAATTTCAAATTTAAAGAATTTTTAATGTTGAGAAAATTGTAAAATAATTATATATGGATTGTGAATGGGCGATTTTAAAATATTTATTACAGCTATTTACATACATTAACTAAATACAAGGGAAACTTCTTGCAAATAAATGACTTCTGTGCGGATGGCCCTTATGTTTTTATTATGAAAATGAATTAAAAGAAATCTCTTTCGTTATATAATTAATTAGAATACTTTAAAAATTTTATTTTATTTCGGTATAAAATTACCAGCCTTCAATTTATGAAAAACTTAACTAAACTTTTCTAAACTTTTATTAAAAAAATTAAAAAATTCATGAATTGTTATATAGAGTTACCAGACGTCCTCATTTTTCTCAATTTATTTGGCTTTCATGAAATTTTTTCCCGTCTCCAAAAAAAATTTTTTGGACGATAAATTGTCCCGGTTTAGTAGTTATGATTAAAAAAGCATAAAATATTGGCATTCTAGTTTTCTTATGTTCCAGATCAGACCAAACTGTGTTTTTTCAAGACCATTATTGTTCAGTTCAAATCACAACACAACCCAAGCAGTATAACAGATATTTATCTAAAAGTTTTCAATTATAATATCAAGATACTACCGCTAATAAGATCCCAATAGCCTACATTTATTTCCCTAAGCGGTTAAGTCTATATGAATATAAAACGTCTATATATGAAAAAGAAAAAGCCGGGTGATATCTGCTTCTTACTAGACCAAACTAAAATTTATTAGATAATATTTGGTTAATTACAATTTTTTTGTTTGTTTTTAATGTACTTAGGTATTTATTATTGCCTTTCCGTCCTATCAATAACTTTCGCCTTATCAAAACAAGTTCAGCTAACCAGCAAATTTTTTTTGTTTTTTAAATTTTCTGCGTTTCATAAAAAATCTTTTTGTACCGTTTTTTTTCTTTTTGTGAAAACCTGACAACCCTAAATTATATTATAAAATAATATGAAACTGTAACGAAAATTTAGAAATAACTTTTTAATAAAATAATGGCTAATTTCTTAGAAAATATTATTACTATTTTAGGAAATTGTGAAAATTCTTTAAATTATAAAAAATTTATTTAAAAAATTTAAATTTTTTTATTAAATAACAACGCTTTACTCTGTTTTACACTGTTCAATATGCTGTAACTTTTACAATTCATTTCATACCCCCTATAAACTCCTTACGTTCTTTGAAAAGAAATGATAAAGTTTAAAGATTTAAACACGTTAAACAAGGGTTCATTCAAGAGCTAGATAGGAATATATGTAAATCAATTCATATTATATAAAATCGATTTAAATAATAAAGATAAATTGGTTTAAGTTAAAATAAGATTGATTAAAATTGGACGTTAACATTATAATTAATTAAAGTATGGACGTATTGAAGCAAATTTGTTTCAACATTTTTTAGAGAATTTCAGTATTACTATACAAATATTAGAGAATTTATGCCGAAATAAATCAATATTAAAAAATTACAAATTTCTTATGAAATTTATTCAATAAATAATCAAATAAAATATTATAAATGAAAAAGGTAATAAATATTTGAGAATTTGTGATAAAAAGAAAACCTAGATTTTAATAATCTAATCAATGGTTTTTAAAGAAACACATTTCATCCCGAAACTAGAACTTTTAGGATTTTAAGGGCGAATATTATGTAAAATTAATTATAATTGCTTAAAATCATTATAACTACTTAGTTTTTGAGAACTTTAAAGTTTACAACTTGATGAAGAGGAGAGATAGATAGGAGTATAAGGCTTATGGATACCTAAAGAGAAATTGAAGAAAAGAATAATTTCCTTTTATAAAGCGTGAAGAGTATTAACATCTATGCGTATTCTAAAGAATAACATCTGGACAGACGAACAAAATGAAGTTATAATAAGGAACATATTATTATAACAAATTTTTTTGCAAATTTGCTTAAAATTACTTTTCGGCGAATTTCCATTTTCTTTTTCATAAAATACTATAATTACTTATGTCTAAATTAATTTTATTTTCAACCTTAAAAATTAATTAAAAAATAAAAATGAAAATTTCAATTACTCACCTATGTTTATGAAATATGATTAATAATATACATGAATTAACTGTTATCATTATAATTATTTCGCTTATATTAAGTGCCCATTCTTGTGGTGTTATATTATCTAATATTATATCTGGCAAGGGTTTATAAATTGTTCGATCTGGTAATCGTTCATGTACTAATGATAATGATACTGTTGCTAATATAAAATTTGCAGCAAGTATCAGAAAAGCTGTAATTAAAAAATTAAATTAAAAAATTATTTTCATTTTATTATTTATAAAAAATTATTTTGAAATAAGTAATAGTTTATATAATATTCCTTGAGTTCCATAATGCAATTACGAAGTTTTCCAGATCCGGACTTTAATGTACTCGTCATAAGAAAAATTTATTTCAAGTTCAATTTTTAGTTTCTGTTATTAGAAGTATAAGACTCGAAACAATTGCGTTCTAAATTTTGTAATTTCGAATTTAATCATTTCGATTAATAATTATGGTTAATTAAATTTAACAAAATATTAACTAAAGTCAAACCAATCAAATATAAATATGTGGAATTTAAATAAGAATTCGCATTTAAAAGGTTCGAAACTTTGCTTTAAGTTATAAGCCAACAGTGTAATCTCAATAATAATACTCGTACCTTTCACTAACATGTGATATTAATGTTTTACGAATATTATTACACAATTCAGCAATTATCAGCTGACATTTATATTAGCTGAATTATGTAGCCATACATTTTTGCTACAATTCCTGTACTACTAGCGGCAATTCCTATTTTATTTCAATTTAATTATGATATTATAAGATACTTGAATTCAAGGTATATATTATGCATGTATGTATAGTAAGCGCTTTAAAATTTTTATTATATAAAATTTATTTTCAACTCACCTACGAATGTTTTCCATTTTTCTTTTGGAAATTTTGGTTCTTCTCGTAAAGGCACAGGAACATCTAATTGTATTTTCACTGCTTCACCATTATTTATATTATTTTGCTGATGATGATATGGTAAGCTACAAATTACTTCAGGTACTTCCTAAAAATAAAAATGATAAAAAAAATTAAATACTTAATTTTAATTAATAAAATTTTTTTAATTAAAATTTAATTTTTCGAATTAAGACATTTTGGTATTGTTATACGTATTTTACTTTTATAATATGAATTTTTGTTTTTGAATTTTCAAATATTTTTTTTAATTTAATTAAAAAATCAATTACATTTAAATTATTTTTTCACCTTTTTTCTTAATATTGAAAATTGGGAATAAATTCTAGAATAAGATTTTAAAATAATTTGTAATTAAAACATTTAAATAATATAAGACAAAATTTTTACGTCTGAATATTAAAAAGTTTTTGAAAAGTTTTTATTATTGAAATTAAAATGTTATACTCTTTCAATTATCGCCATGAAGGCCGAGCGAATACTGCTATTCTTTTCTACCTTCCTATTAAACTGTAAATTATATTAATATAACGAGTATAACCACTATGACCTAAATTAATTGAAAACGACTTCATGCTCTTTCAGAATTCAGAAATTTTACAATAAATTTGAAATCATCTTAGAAATAGCTTCAAAGTAGCAACAAAATTTTATTAAATTCCATTTTTATTCAACGCTAATGTTCGAATTCAAATAAAATTTCCAATAAAAAAAAATTCAAAAAATAATTGTTTTTCGGGAGAAAAATATTGAATCAAATTCGTTGGCAGTAGCCGTGTTAAAATAATATTCTTCATTTTAACTATACTACACATACGGATTTTCTATTGATATACCAACATACATACATACATACGTATGTGGAAGTATGTATAATTTAAATTTTTAAATAAGTAATTTATAACTTTTTATGATTTGTAAATTCAAGGATTAAATCAAGGACGATCAATTTTTGAAATATGTAATTATTAAAATAAAGAGTTCAAATGTTATAATTTAAGACAAAATATTTTTCTTGTATGTATTTATGTACGTATATTTAGTGTGTTCTTGGAAATTTTAAATGTTCGTATAACTTGTATAATTAAAATTTTTAAAACGCAATATAGGCAAGTATGTATGTACTAAAGCATTAAGAAAATATAAGAGTTCATTAAAAGTTTTATTAATGGTTTGTGAACTTTTTATATTGGGAAATGGAACATTTGCGATATTTCAAAAATTTTCTAGTATAAAACAATGAGCGAGTATAACTTGTACATGTCTATAACAAAGGCAAATTAGATGGGCATAAAAAAAAAAATATTTGAAAATTTGTGATACTTACTTAATTAAGTATTAACTTAAAGAATTTTATATTTATATATATAAAGAAAAGGCGGACCAGACAGTACTCAGACATACTCTGTATCAATAACATTTAAGTACGTACATATATAAACTTATGTATATCATCACAAATATACATACATAATATACTTAATACATTTATATACGCAAGTATAATTTATTTTATTGCGTTTAATCATAAATTTTTATTATTTGACCAAATAAGCAATAATAATTTTTTCCGTCTTAAATGTGTTTTTGCAGATTTGCCTAATTTTTTCCAGATGTCCATAAGAATAATATTTGTAATTCGCGTCTTTTGCAATAATAAAATACTTACTATTCCCCCTTATGAAATTCCGTTATGAAATTCTATAAGTTTTATGAGCAGAAATTTACTTAGCACTAGTGCGACAAATTTAACGGTTTTATTGTAAATTTTCCGAGCGCACAAAATAATTATCGTAGGGGCAATATTTGCAGAGAAAGGAACAGTTAGAACGGGTCGTGATTGGAGGGTATGTCGTTGTTGAATATTTCCCTGAAAAAGTTGTTCGGTTCAACAAAAATGTGGGTCTCGAGGAGGTTCTCTAGATTTTTTTAAGTCGCAGTGCATCATCGCGGTGGAAAAATTTACTATTGCAATCAATTACACTTGGAACTTTTCCTCTAAAAATCAATTCTACTTAAGAACAGCAGTTCCACAGTTCCAAATAAGTTGCTCTTTAACATGCTTTAAAATATTTTACCCTTCTTTAGTACTATGTTTGATTAATTTTTCAAAAGTTCAGAATTTTCGTTTATAGAATTAAAGTACATATGTATTTAATTTAATAAAAGCGAGAAAATGTGAAGAAGATTTCAGTATATTTTTTAAATTCTTATCTTAAATTAGAATTTTCTGGCAAAAAAAAAAAACAGAAAACATGTCAACTTTCAAAAAATTATCATAAATCAAAGTTATTTAAGTTTTGAGTAAAAAAAAAACAAACTTAAAGGAAAAAAAATCTACTTCACTTTAATACAAAATAAACAAAAAACAAGCTAAACAAAATCAAAGTTGTTCAGGGAAACTAAAGGATATTAATAAAATATTTTCATAAAGTATTAAAGTGCACAACCTTTCTTATAATTTTGACACACAAATGGCAATTCTTTTAAATCTTATCAATTCAACTACAGTCTCATTTTTTATGTTATTTCAGAAACTTAAAATGGATTATTGTGTCGGCTCTTCAGATGTTGCGTTTATTTCAAGTTAAAAAGTGATTAAATAATGATTACGTATTCAATTACATTTTGTTGCAAATTATACTCTTATACATATTAAATACAATTATTCAAAATAATTAATTGAGTACAAGACTTGGGTCTTAAATCTTCTTCTAACACTTATATCGTAACAATTTTGACAAATTGAATTTAGAACGTCTTATTTGACTGAAACACTAACTACAACATTGAAACACTAACTACATAAATGAAACGCTGACATCCAAATTACAGTAATCATGTATTGCAAAATATTAAGTATAGTAACCAATTTACATGCTAACAATCAAATTACTGTATATTGTTAACAATTCAGAATTTTTTTCTCAGTCTTAAAGTAATGCAGTATTACGACAATTTAATTGTTAGAATTACTTCAATAAACAACTAGAACATTTAAAAATCCTGCTGTTTCATATGTATTGATTTTGACTTCAAAATCACAGCAGTTTGACATCAGTAAACAACTCAGCAATTAACTGCTCAACTGAAATGCATGATCTTTTATTATTATAATGTTATAGTAATTTTAAAGCCATCTGAAGTTGAAAAGGTGACTTTGGTTGATAATTTCAGGATTCGAATACAAAAGTTTTGCGTTTCCTTTTTGTTCTTTCATTTTTTAATTCCTCTTTAGTTTTAGATTTTTTCCTTTATTTTTAAATACAACTATTCATCTTATATGCATTTTTGTTTTTAAATAATGTTTTTGAATATTTTCTTAAAAGATTTGCAACTACATTATACTATTCTTTTAAATGACCTTCGTAAAATATTAACCCATTTATTTTGCTTTGTTTTTTTTCTTGTTTTGTTCTGCTTTTTTGTTTTCAAATAAAATATTTGCTGTTTAACTTTTAGTTTACAGTTACTTATTTATCTTTTAAATGTACGTCATAAGCACATCACATTATTTCTATTATATTTGTGCATAACAGTGTAAGCCATATGTTTTAAGTGTATGTACATAATATGCATGTATTGTATTGTATTATGTATTTTGTATAATGTTTTTATGTTTGGTTAAGTGGGTATGAAATATGAAAGCGCACACGTAAATGTATGAGTAACAGGTGAATATTATAAAAAATATACTTATTTTATTTTTGTTTTTTAAAAAATAAAAGCAAAAGTATAATGTGGAAAAAAGACGTAATTATTACTTGAATTTATTTTATATCAAACTTATAATACGAGATGGTATACCTACGCAGTGAAGTAGGATTTACATAAAAATTGTACATAATTGCATACAAATGTATGTAGGCACAAGAACATATCCATTTTTGATTTCATGATGGTTGACAAAAGAGGGCCTTACCACATTAGTTGCCTATTAGTTGTCTATTTTTGCAAAAATGAGTTATTATGTTCAATAGACCTGCAATGGCCTAAAGAATTGTTCTATAAGTATTTTCAAAATACTTAGTTGCCTAATACTTATTAGTATTTAATACTTAAGAGTACCTCTTTTCAATCTATTTTGACATAAGTTTGTTTTTGCCTTTCAAAAATTTTCTTAAAAATCAAATACATATTTAGCATTTCAATCGCAATTTACTCGAAATATCATTTTTGCAAGCAGGTCATACTAGTGTTATATACTAGCTGATATATTATGTACTTGTGAGTTTTCTTGTTACTCATTTGACGAACAGTTTAACGGTGTTAGTAGTTGTTTAAGAACACAACCTCGTTAACATTAAGTTAATCGAAAATTTACTGTCATTTCGAAACTGCCGCAATAACGTATTCAAATTCACAATACAGTTTAAATGCTCCTAATTGCCAAAATATTTAGGAATAGGAATTGTAATTTTATTCTATCATTCTAACCGTTTAATTTAAGATTTTAAAGGGTTAAAAGAGCAATAAATTAAAGCTTTAGCAATATACTATAAGTATTTAGTCGTGACGGTTTTATGATGGTTTTTATGTTGTTTTTTAAAAATGAAACTGCACAAAGTATTTCTGTATACATTTAAACTTACAATTGAAAATAAAATAAAAATTAAAATGTATATAAAAAGAAAAATTTCTAATTAAAATGTAAAAACAATTAAAGAAATGACGGACATTCAACAGGAAGTTGTCTTTATATTTATGCACATTTGTTATATAACTAATAATAATTACAAGCTCTAGAAATGTATGCGCATATACATATATACATATTATGTATAGAGATTCAAAGAGTGTTCGCAACTAAAATTTACATAAATACTATACAATGGTACTTTAATAGTACTCACTGCTATCTACAAATGGAGAAAAATTCTAAATTAAAGAAACCGGTTTAATAATGTAATTTAAATGTAAAATGAAAAATATTTATGTAGAAAATAATAAAAAAAAAAAATATAAAATGATTTTTTAATTGAAAAGTACAGTTATTATTTTCTAATATAATAACATTGTGTGTGTTCTATAAAAAGGGTGTTCTAAAAACATAATGACAGCTTTGTTCTTAGAAAATTTCTTTTAGAT